TTTATAACCACTTTGCGCACTCACTCCCAAGCTCCTGTTAGGTCGGGTATCATTACCTCTGCACTTCTGCCAGTTCGGGTGTCATCACCTCTGCTCGGGCAGACAACCGCCACTGCTCTCTTTGTCGGAGCCGTCTCTGTGACTGGAGGTGGCGGTGGCAGGTGGTCGTTGAAGTGCGGCTGTCAAGCGTCAAATCCTAAGTCAGTCAGGTGCGCTGCCTCAGGATACGGACTCCTTTGGTGTCAGGTACGGTTGTTCAGTTGGGCGGCTTGGAGACGAAGTGCTGGAGTGGTGTGCGAGGTGAAGTCTTGAGTTCGGGTAGAAGTGTGGTCCGAGCTGCCCTGGGGTGGGCCAGTTCGGGTTGTTGGGGCTCCTTTTGGGGAGCTCAGACCACTGGTTCCTCCTCTCGGAGCTCGCGCCTTGAGCGTACTGCCGTGCCGAGCTGTTGCTTCTGCCAAGCCACCCTCGGTTGTTTCCACGTATTGGGTGGTCAAGAGGTCGGGTCAAATCTTCCTTCATCAGCTCTGTCATGCTCTTCTCTTTGTACTTGGTCAGACAGATACTTTTGTATTCTTGAAGAAAATTGTGGTAGAAGTCTACTGAGTTATCTAATGAATTATAGGCTATTGGCCTTTTTCAAAAAATAAAAATAAAAATAAAAACTGATTTTGTAAACATTATAATGAAGTTAAATAGACTTTTAACTCCAACTCTCAACTCCCAAGGCACAAAGCCTAAGATTGGGGCTTTGTGCTTTTGACAAATCCTGAAGCTAATCCAAATACAACCTAAGTAGTTAAGTGATTTTAAATGAGGAGGAAGACCAAATGAATCATCGATCATACTTGCAAATTCAATTTGGATAGGGTTTGCTTCTTGGGATTGGGAATGTTGAGGAAATTTTTGGCAAAAGAAAGACAGGATTGTAATTTTCGAAGAAGCACTTGCGTTTTGTTGGTTTTTGCTTGTGACTTTCTTAGAAACATCCCTATAGAAGGCATGATTATGATTTCCTAAGAAATAGCTCTGTTTTGGTAGGAGGTTTGGATAGTGATTTTCTGAGAAACATCTCTACTTTGTTTGGTAATGGGTTAAGGGCTAGTACACCTCAAGTTCAAAGTTTGTATTAATATAGCATATATCTGTAATGCACACTGGCGAAAACAATATTTGGGTTCAAACTATCTGACCCTATTCTCTTTTGCTTCTTTACCTTTTTCCCCAAGAAAATGGAAATCTGAGAAAGTATTGTGACAGGTGCATCTTCTTCTTTCTAGTTAATTGGTGTATGGATGAAAGAATTATCTGGATACGGAAAAAGAAAAACTAGAGCTAATGACAAAGACAAAATTGTCTTCTTTGAGATTTTAATCCATCAAGTATCAACTGCTGCAAAAACGAATACCACTTCTGGACAATACAAACCAAGCAAACTTCACAGCTAAGGATCCCAATATTGGATCTGCAATTAAATAGGTTCATATAATGTCTAAGAATTAGACACGTAGCAACTTAGCTGATTTTCAGAGAAGAGAATGTTTGGCTAGGCCGAATATCCTTCCACATGGAAGAAAAACAAATGAAAGAAAATGAAGGGTTGTTTGTTGCATGATTTTCAAAATCGGACCGGATCGGAAAAACCGGGAACTAGTCAGGTGATCAGTTTCATTTTCTCCAAAACGGTTGATTTTGGTCAACGAACCGTTGAATCGTGTGATTAATTGTTTGAACCATTTGAACAGTTTTTAACCATTTTTTTATTTTTTATTTCTGTTAAAACGGGCCAAGCATTTGGTTCGAACGACCAGACCATTCGACCCAATAACCGGATCCTGACCGATTCGATTTTAAAAACCATGGTTTGTTGAATTGTGCTGTGGGAATTGGGATTCATTGGAAGATATAAGTAATAACAAAACAAAAGGGAGAGCAAAAAAGTAGAAAAGGAAAGACAGGCGGGGGCTGGGAGTGGGACATTTGTAGGTCTAAATCCTGTGACCAAGATTATGTACACTTGGTCTAGATTTTCTTCTCAAAAAATAATATACACGTGTCAAGATTTTGTCCTCAAGATCCGCATTAAGACCGGACAGGATGGAATACCTCTCCACTTCTCCGTCTCCAAGAAGTTGGAGAGAATGTATGTATCCAGAGTCAGACAAAAGGTACATAAAAGTCATAAACATACAGTTGAACACGTAGAGGTTGGAATATTCTCCCCCAGCCAGCAGCCCTATATATGGTCTTCCCTTCTCCAGTTCTCCCCCGCTCAAACCGACCAGACATACAGAGGAGAGAGAGAGAGAGAGAGAGAGGGAGAGAGAGGAGAGTAGGAATCGAGTTGAGTCATCACGGCTGTACTTGAAGCGGTCGGGTGGAATCTCCACCACCAACAACGCCTCCAGCAACAAAGCCCATCACAAGTGGATCAAACACAGAACTTGTTCGAGAAGAGGATTCCTTCCCCTCACGGTGGTAGGGGTGCTCTTCCCTCTGAAGGCGGAAGCCCTTCCGATCTCCTCTTCCTCGCCGGCGGCGGTTGTTTCTTTTCCTCTTTCCCCCTTTTCCACCTTCTCCGCTCAGGTCTAACTGGGGAAGAACTAACTAACGTCGCAAACCCACCTAACTTTCTCAATCTTTTTCTTCTTCTCGCGATCGTCTGCGTCCAAGATGTTGACCATCAAAAGGGTTCCGACCGTCGTCTCCAACTTCCAGGAAGACACTCCTGGAGCTCTCGGTTGTGGCAGGAATTGCCTCGGCAAGTGTTGCCTTCCCGGTAAGACTCAGACCCTTATCTCCTTCCTCTTCAGTTTTCTTCCTTTCTTTCTCTTTTCTTTGTTTTAAGTTTTCGATTGTATTGAAATTGGTCGCTGTGTTGATCCTTCAGTATCAAAGCTTCCTCTCTATGCCTTCAAGAGAGACGGCAGCGATTTGATCAAAGGTGGGGCAGCAATTGAACCGGGGGACAACCCTAAGGTTTCTTTCCTCAATGAATTGCTGCTGGCGCAGTGGGAGGATCGGATGAGCAGAGGGCTCTTCCGCTACGACGTGACAACCTGCGAGACCAAGGTTATTCCTGGGGATTATGGATTCATTGCTCAGCTCAACGAAGGTCGCCACTTGAAGAAACGGCCCACCGAGTTCCGTGTGGATCGGGTCCTTCAGCCCTTTGATGAAAAGAAGTTCAATTTCACTAAGGTTGGCCAAGAGGAGGCGCTCTTCAGGTTCGAGCAGAGTGAGGACAATGGGACTCACTATTTCCCCAATGCTCCCATCGGCGACAGCTCCAAATCCCCAAATGCTGTTGCCATAAACGTGAGTCCAGTTCGATTCTGAATTACTTCATCAATGGTTGTGGTAGAATATTTAAGGCAAATTGATATAAGGCAACTCTTGTTTAACATTTGTTCCATTGGGTTTTCAGGTGAGTCCAATTGAGTATGGGCATGTACTTCTGATTCCCCGAGTTCTCGATTGCTTGCCTCAGAGGATTGACCATGAGAGTTTCTTGCTTGCTCTTCATATGGCATCTGAAGCAGCAGATCCGTTCTTTAGATTGGGATACAATAGCTTGGGTGCCTTCGCAACCATTAATCACCTCCATTTCCAGGTAATAAATTTCTTTGTTTTATTTTCTAGTCTCGTTTCCTTTGAATTCCCACATGTTGTCCTTACAAATGCAACCAGTAGTTATCCACATTGGCTCAGTTACATTTATGATTGACAATTACCCCATTGTTGCAGGCGTATTACCTATCCATGCCCTTCCCCGTGGAGAAGACCCCCACTGAAAAACTAAACACAGTGAAGAATGTGCCTGACAATGGAGTGACAGTGTCCAAGCTGTTGAATTATCCAGTAAGGGGATTGGTTTTTGAGGGTGGAAAAACAATGAAACATTTATCTGATGCTGTTGCAAATTCTTGCATTTGCCTCCAAGAAAACAACATTCCTTACAATGTCCTGATCTCCGATTGTGGTAAACGGGTCTTCATTTTCCCTCAGGTATTTTTTCCTTCCCAATTCTACTTTGAATCGTAACTGGTTGTTCATTTAGAGTACTTGCTTTACTTGAGGTTGCAGATATCTTCGTTTGTTCTAGCTTGATTAGTGGAGATAGCCGAGTTGAATTAGTTATATTTACCTACTTTGAAATCTGAACGATTTATTAATGTGAAGAGCCCCTTATGGCAACTACTTTGTACAAAAACAAATTTTAGAATGCTTATGTTCACCATGGAGACTGTTGTGCAAATTCATTCAATTGGTGTGATAAGACATTTTTTTGTGAAATCTCCTAATCCATAACCTATAATAAAAGAGAGTCACTCCCCTCTGCATTTCGTCAATGATCAAACTTCTGAATTCCAATAATGCCCTCAACTTTTTTCCTACCCCCGCCCTTGATTGTTAGATTTGGGTTTGTTTTTTAATTAGGCGATACTCACAAAAACAGTAATTGGTAATAACCAGTTAACCACTATACTAATGTGTCCATTAATGTGTATCTGTATACCCATTATGTCACCACCTACTCCTGACAACATTTTTTTTGGTTTTCATGATCAAACTTTTAAGCTGCAATAATATTTTGTTTCTTTTTCTCTCTCTTCTGATATGAAATCCAGTAAGTTTTATAGACCCCCCCCCCCAACTAAAACCGTTGTAGGCAATATGAGAAATTTCAGTTTGGTTACAGCTAGGGGTGCAATTCGGGTACCCAATTTTAGGATTTTACACTCCTAGTTACAGCAAGTGTCCTCAAGCCTGCCTCATACACCCATTCAGAGATGCATATTAATAATAATCACTTCTTTTGTTTGGTTCTATTTTTTTTCTGAAAAATAGCTCATATTCACTTAGGCTCATTCCATTAGTAACAAAGCAATTTCTTCACAAGTTTATTTCTCATTATAAGGTTCCTTTTCTATCTCATTAGACCACTAGTATTGAGTTTATAAATCAAGCAAACCAGGACTTCATGATAACAACGCAATTATCAAAAATGATTTAAGACGACAAAGATAATATGTATATATATTAGACAGGTAGATTGATAGTTATAATTTTTAATACTCTTGCCAGTTTAGTCATTCAAATCACATGAATCTTCTTAACTTGCCATTACAATCTTAGATTTTGCATTGGAAATTAACTAGTGGTTGCTGCTAAATGATTGAACAGTGTTATGCGGAGAAGCAAGCACTAGGAGAAGTGAGCCAGGAGCTTCTAGACACCCAAGTAAATCCTGCTGTGTGGGAGATAAGTGGACATATTGTGTTGAAGAGGAAGGACGACTACAGAGAAGCATCCGAAGACTATGCTTGGAGGCTTCTAGCTGAGGTCTCTCTTTCAGAGGAGAGGTTTGAAGAGGTGAAGGCTTACATATTGGAAGCTGCAGGGTTTCAAGAGGCTTGTGTGGAGGAGACCAATGTTGGAAATGAGGAGCAGGAAGAAGCTCTATTTGAGCCCTCAGTGCCAACCCCTGCACCACATTTCCCCCAAGATTGTCTGGTTCTGCAGTGAAGATTTTTATACTTGTAAGGACTTCCTAGTCAAGGTCCCATCTAGCATAGTGTGGTTTGATCTCTTGTATTATTGAATAAAAGAAGTGGTGGATGCTTGGTGAATTAGTAGTACAGATCTACAAAAGGTCAATAGGTTTGTTTGTAATTGGATTTGCGGTAATCTTGTGCATGCTCTAGTTTGTGCTCATTTTATGATAAACGATCTCTAATATGTTTGTTGCATCATATGCGTTGGTTGAGTGAAGGTCTCTAGCTAGCCTCTACTCCTTTGGTTATTGAATCTCTGACTCTCAGTACCAGATATAATCAATGATGTAGCAAAACAAACAGCAGACTAACAACTATGATCCACTCCACATAATTGTACCTCCCAGGTGACGGCAACTCGGATCCAGATTCACCATTTTGAGCATCGTAAACTAAACCCGCGAGCAAGGTTCAATACGTATTGTGCCGGTGACTTTCCGATATGCCCCTATAGTGGGTGTATTAGGGTTCTTACCGGTTCAGGGGTGGAGGAGCCTTAAATCGGTCCTTTTGAATCGATTTTGAAAAAAAAAATTAAAAAAGAGGTTAAAAACACTGTTGATATTACCCGATACGCCCCTACCAATATATTGGGCATATCGATAATTTGAACCTTGCCTGCGAGATTTTGCCATTTATAGAATGGTGATATTCATATATGAGGTGAACACTGCAACTGCATTCGTTAATCCAGACGAGATTGTTTTTTAGTCATTGAGCACCCAAATATCCCACCACATTTCATCTTCAGTGCCTGTTTGATGGCCCTCCCAAATCCACATCCACTATTCCTGACCATAGCATCAGGATATATCGTTTTTAGAATTATTCTAATCAAATTTTTGTATCTAGGACAGAGTTCGAGCATGAAAAAGAGTAGTGGCTTGTGGCTTTCGCCTTTTGCTTTGACTTTGATGATGGATGGGATGATGATATAACACAGCTCTGACGCCAATGTCAGCTCATGCACCTCAACTTTATACTTGAGAGAGGGGGCTTCACTGGGCACTCCGGAATTTGGATCTGCAACCTACAAATTGTTCCCACATCCTCTCCTCACCCTGGGAACATCTTCCCGAGAGATGTTCTCAATGTGCAGCAAGTATATCGATTTTTTGAACAAGTGATACGTGAAATACTAGGAACTAGAGAGTTGCTAAATCTTTGAACCGAACCTTGGATCTTCATTAGGAAGTATCATTCAATTGAAATGTATAGATTTTTGGAACAAGTGATACCTGAAAGCTGAAATACTAGGAATTAGAGAATGGCTAGATCTTTGACCCGAACCTTGATCTTCATTAAGAAGTATCACTCAATTTTTGGAAATAGAGTAATACGTGGAAACTACAAATTAGAAAGTATGTTTGGAAGGAGTATAAAATATAAATATGTAGAGTGCAAAACCTTGTATTTTGTATTATTTTGTATCTATTTATACTGTACATATTTGTATTTGTACTCTTTAGGCTCAATTTGAAAGGAGTATAAATACGAATATATACTCTACAAATACATACAAAATCATACAAAAGACAAGATTCTACACTTTACATATTTGTATTTGTACTCCTTCCAAACTAAGCCTTAAGGGATAATGGGGTATAGACGGGTCAAATCGCTTGTAGTTGTAGATCAAAAGCCACTGCCAGTTTTGAAAGCCCCTCCCAAACGGGCACTATATTATTATGAAGTTTCTGAGAATTATTTTGATAGTTTTATATACTTTAAAAATTCGAATGATTTGGGATATAAATGTAATTGGATTACACAATGACTTTCAAATTACAAATTTTTAGTAGGCTATCATAATTAATAAAAAATAATCACTTTGAACATAGATAAATTTGAAAAATGCGACATGTTTGTTAGGACCAGAAAGAGTAACCTGGGAAAAAGAGAGTGGTGCACCATTAGTAAAATGACCCGAGAATTGAGTAGAAGACGCACGGTTCAGGCTCTATTTAAGATCTAAGAAAAATAAAAGGGAGAAAGACAGTTCAGCCTGGGGTCAGAATTTATAGGCATAGAGTGGGTTTTTGCCATTTTGAGTATTTATAGCTCGGCAGTGAAAATCAGAAATCTGCATTGGGCCTGTTTGTACTTTTTCGGAAAAAAAAAAGTAATACTATTACAAAACTTATACAAACCATACGAAAATTTTAGATTGTGGTTACTGGGCACCAAACAGGTTAAATACCATGGAAACTGATGAAATCATGAATGATGTTATGATTAGAAACAAACAAAAATGTCAGAGTACTCGATCTTTATAACAAATAAATAGACTGCTAAGAAGACCACTTGCAGAAACCCCATGATTATTTTTGAAAGCTCAATCTTCTAGCAGTAACTTCACCAAAAAAAAAAAAATTCTAACAAGAAAGCATTTTTGCTTTAAGTTGTTTTTGGTATCAGAAACATCGTATCAAATCTTTTATGCATCAATCTCTAATTACTCATTGTCAAGGAACAACTGCAACCCCAACAATTCCAAGCGAGGAGCTTCATGGCTGCTGCGAGAGTTTTGTTCAGAGACTGTATCCTCAACCCTTAAATGAACGTATATGCAGGTAAACAAATTCCATATTTGTGATCAAACCTGCATCCCTTTGTTCATCAGATCTCAAGTCCCAACATGCCTTCTTTGTGAACAGTCCTGAACCAAGAAATCAAAGTTGAAGGGAAAGACGCACAAATTACTAACTGATGCTACACATTGGATTAAAAACTCTCCTAACGATTTCAAGGATGGACTATTGCACAATATGTATAACAAACAAGACATCAAAGAAAAAATGAATTGAATCAAATATAAAAAACCCTAAACCAAGTGAATTCATAGTTGCAGGGAATGGTGGGATGTTTCCATGCACTAGCATGATTTGACCAGTCACACCTTTTGTAGTTGAGCAAGAAAAACTTTGCTCATTTTTTGGATGATAAATAGTAAGGACATGCATTACATGAGAATTTTCCAGTCATCTATAATATGGTTGTTGATAAAGGAGCAACAGTGGAAGAACGCTATGAATTGGTTTCCAATGAGGCACTATGACCTCCACCTTGATACTAGGGGGAAATCAAAGTTAACTAGGGAGACAGGTACAGGACCAGGAAGAAACACAGCTGTGAAATAATGCTTTTTTGCAGAACAATCCCCCCATTTTCATGGGATAGAAACTCAGCTTCTAATATCCCCTCAGATCTTTTCATGTAGTTGGCATAGTTGGGTAAGGTTTTGAACATTAATTAATAATCACCTTGTTTGGCATTTGCCAGAATTTAATTAAGCTCTTTCGGTGGCAATGAATATTTTTAGGTAGCATCCCATCCCAGATTGGTTGGTGTACGATGAATCTCAGGCTAAGCATGATATCACAGGCTCAAGCATGAGATCAGCCACTTTGTGCAAAAAATGCCAAAGGTTAGGTCCCCATCCAGTCTGCCCCTCCCAAGACCCTAGATAACTACGATCAACATTGGATAATGGCCTTTTTTATTCCACCCCAGATTGGTGCTTGATCAACTATGAGTTTCCAAAAGAAAGGTAACACTTTGTCTAACAATGTTTCCCTTGCCCTTTGTTGGACCATATGGAAAAAGAAAGTAACTTTTTCATGTGGATATCATAATGGGATGCAGATTTGGACCAATAATCACCTCACATCCAATGGGAAAGACATGCAATGAATGCTCTCTTCCCCATGCCTAAGCTATAATAACCCAGATTCCTATAAAAGGGTGTCATATACTTCAAATTTTAGTGTAAAATCCATATCCTACACCATGTCCTTGACATATCAAGGAAACATAGCCTATAAGTCAATCCCCTATCTACTCCATTGCACCTTCTTGGTCTGACATTTGGTAGAATTCAATTAAGCTCTTTGGGAGGTGATGAGTTTCTTTTATCAATAACTGAACCAATTCATTAGATGAATAGAAGGTTACAACAAGGAACAAAGAAGAGGGGAGAGATAAACTCTCTTAGCCCTCCCACCAAAACAGAACAATTTACAAGAGTCTAAAACAAAGTATCCCTTCCCACCCCTTGTTTAGCAAGAGCATCAGTAAAAGAATTGGCACTTCGCTTTATCTATTGGAGTCTCACTTCCATATTCTGTGACAGCCATCGAAACCTTCTTTTCTCATTGATGTAACTCCATAATCCAATTTCTTCTTGTTGCAGCAATGCAGCCAATTAATCACCAGCTTGGAGTCACCCTTAACTACTAACTTTCTAATATTTAGTTCCTTTGCCCTCTGTAACCCTTCCAAGACAGTCATAATCTCTGCTCTGACTCTGAGTGAATCACTTGTACCTATTGGTCCTGAGAATAATGCAACGACCTTTTATTCTTCATTTCTGAATACACCTCCAATACCAGAAGAACCAGGATTACCCTCACTACTATCAAAATTCAACTTAACGAAACCTTCAATTGGTGGGGACCAAAGAGGCCTACTTTCAGCCTTTAAAGGAGCAGAATTGGCCACTTCCTTCCAGTTTCTAAGCAAATCATCTGTAGATATACCATCAAACAGCTCCAGATATTTAACCCACTACCACTCTGATGGAAATGACTTCAATTAGAGCTTCCCTAGTACAACAAATCGTCCAACAAATGGCTGCTCTAGTACACCTCCAAAGCATCCAGCCCCTCTTCTTTGGCCAACTAACAAAAGAAGCAAACAAACTTTGTGAATCTGGTGGGGGAGTCCATCTACAACCAAACAGAGAGAGAAACCAATCCTAAATATACAAAACAAAAGGGTGGGAGATTAATAAGTGATAGCATGTCTCACCAGTCACCATTAGCCTTACATAAAATGCACCACCGTGGTGATAAGCACCAATTAGGTCTTTTTCTTTGAAGAAGTTCACAGGAGTTGAATCTTTCCTAAAAGACCTCCCAACAAAGAGCTGCAATCCTAGGTGGAATAGGTTTACCCCAAACTTCCTTAATAGGGAAAGATTGCCCAGGAGATGCAAAGGGTTGAACTAGACTCTGAAAAAAGGAGGCGCAGGAGAAGGAACCCATGGGAGGAAGGGTCCAAACATGACAACCCACAGTAGATTGGTCTAAGAAAACACCTTGCAAATTAGTCCATAGCCTCTGACTCCCCTCCTTAAACCCAAATCCCAATCAAACCCTAACCCCAAACTAGAGGAAACTAGAAAAGAGGACACAGGCTCATTTTTTAAAGTAGATAAAGCAAACAAGGGAATTGATCTTTCAATGTCCTATCCCCCACCCAAATATGCTCTCAGAATTTAACAAGATTACCAGAGCACAAATTGTAGTTGACCAATAGAAGGATGGAAGGATATCATGTATGGATTTCCAGGGGGAGGCCCTTTGTAGCCCTAGCCAAAACTCCTGCGTCCCAGCCATTAGCCGCCAACCCATGAATGCTCAATATCACCTTAACCCGCAGCTTATCCCTGTCTATTGGAAACCTCCATAGCCATTTTACCAGAAGTGCTACATTTCTCATTTGAATGTTTCCTATTCCTAGAGCTCCAAAATTCTTACTCCTACAGAGTATCTCCCAATTAACCCTATGATCCTTTTTCTCCTCCCCTGGTTCCCAAGAAAAGCCCTTCATCAATTTTTCCAATCTTTTACTCACCCCCACTGGGATCTTAAAGACAGAGGTAATACACTGGCAGATTAGTTAGAGTGGCCTTGATCAAAGTAAGGTGATGAGCATTTCTGGGTAGAATTCTGTCCCAAATTGGCAATTTCCCAAATGGGAGTAACATCTTATGATACCTTGTTTCCCCTGCTATTTGTTAGAGCATATGGAAGGAGAAAAATAAGAGAACCAATGAAGAGAAATGTGAAGGTCCTAGTGTTATGGGAAAAATAGTGCCTCATCTACTTTGGGAATCCATTTGGAAGAGTTCCAGGCTTGAATTCAGAATATTTTTATGATTATACCAGCATCACTTCTGAGTTAGTGAGTGCATAATAGGCCATATACACTTTCTGTAAGGGCTTTGGCCACTCTTATGGTTTTGCATTAATGAAAATATACTTTACCTATAAAACAATGGTTTAAGCAGTCTTTAACTACAGTAAAACAAAATAGTGATAAATAGGAAGGTATAAGCAAAACAAGAAAGAAGGCTAACTGAAAGAAAGTATATATTAATTTCATTCCATTTCATCCTTCTTTTCATTTACTGTGGTTGTCTCTGTTAGTGTGAGTTCAAGCATAGGCATGGGTAAATTTGTCAGGGAGTGGGAGATACATAGGAAGATGAAGATAACTTATTTCCATGTAAATCAAGTTATGAAGTATCATAATGATAATGGACTATTAGGTATTAGCATGCTAGCAGCCAACAAAAACAAACAATTTGCACAGAAACAGATACAAAGGGTTGCAATTTATACCCCATTTGCTATGGGTCCAAGTGTGTTGAGAAACTGAGAGTATGGCACTCAAGATTCCTCATGTTAAGCTGCACAATGTAACATAATTAAATCATGAAAAGGAACAAGAACAAAAACTACAGAAAATTTTCAAATATTATCTGTAAAACACCACCTCTCTCTCTAAAACCATGCATTCCACGCAAAAGGACAAACAAAAAAAATAAAGAAAAAAAATGAATAGAAGTGTGTCTCACTCCCATACAACTAGATATCTGACATATGTGCTTAAATGAGGTTCCGATATTTTCAGAATGGAGTACATCTTTTAGTGATTTCATTTATCTGTTTTTTCCTTTTCTTTTTGGGTGTGGAGGGTCTTCTGAAAAGACATAATGAGATTGGATCTTTTGATTTTAGCCTGGATTTGCACTTCACCAGACAGAATTAAGGGTATGATTATCCATGTTGCCAATACTATTTTAGCAACAGCCAACATTTTACAGGGGAAAATTTAGTTTATTAATCTTAGTTAGTCAAAAGAAATGGAGTATGGATGAACTTACCACAACAGCAACACCAGTTTCCAAGAATTTAGGGATGCAAATAAGCCTTACTAATTGTCCCTCTGATCCTACAATCAAGAAATACCATCAATTTGTATGAGAGCATGTGTAATAAAATGGTTCAATTTGTATTTTTCTTTCTCATAACATTTGAGGACATGTGACCATCCAAAATGGAGTCATCACCAGGAAGAAGAAAATTTCATATCATTTCATTTATTGAAAACCTAAAATAATCTGCATGTCTATCGACATCCTATGAGAACTCCATTTTAGGTGATTGATTATGCATCAAGAACAAGAACAATGAAAACAAAAGAGAAATGATTCATTTGATATGATTTCTAACATCCCATCAAAAAAATTAAGAGAAAGCACCTCTTAACAAGCGGGTCTTGTATTTATTCTGATTACCAACAAAGTAAACATGAGGACAGCTCTCTATGAGGAAAGGATCCTTATCAGTGAAGGGATAGCACCCTGAAACAATCAGGAAAATTTAGCCAAAGAAAGAGGACAGACATAATTTTAGGAAGAAAAGAATGTTAATGGCGATGTAAACATACACTACATATTCAATGCTTCAAGTAAGAACTGAGCTACAGTCTGTGTGACTTATTAAATTTAAAATGTTTTCCATTTGAAGACAACATATACCCAAACAACTAAGTGGCAAGAGGTAAAACAAAGAAAAAGATATAACTATGTTTAGTATCCTGCTGATAGGCAAATTGAAATGTTTTCCATTTGAAGCTTAGTATCCTTCTATTGAATCCTTTTCTGAGATAATCTACCATTCAAGGTTCAAAGTATTGTTACGTATCGGCCGATATGTATCGTTCCGGGACCCTTCCGATATGCCACTACAGTGGGTGTATCGAGGGTCTGACCAGTTCAGGGGATGGAGGGGTCCTAGACCGGCTCCCCTGAACCAGTTTTGAAAAAAAAATAAAAAAAGGTAAAAAAGCGAGTATCAAAACGTATCGATATTTTGAACCTTGCTACCATTTAGAGTTCAAATCTTACAATTCAATTTACATGAATTTTTCTATTATAACTGAATTGACAGTGGTCTAAAGACAAAATGTAAAACATAGATACAACTTGTTATCACAGCAAGACACGATTGAGTTCACCTCCCAAGTCTTGAAGTATCTCACAGGAACCTGCTGACATCAGCATGGACATCTCAGACTGAAAATCCTAGACTTTGGTAGGGTATGAGTTTAGATGTTTTTTGGTATCGGCGCTTCAGTTGATTGAATACAGTTGTTGGTGACTTCTATTTGTACTATGGTTGAACAGAAGAAGGTTATCTTGATTGGATTTAAGAAGTTGATCCGCATATATTTTTTTCCTTTTTTTTTTTTGAAAAAGGAATAGTATGATACAGATTGTATAAAATTCAAAATGTATACAAAGGTCTTCCGTACAAAGAGTTTCTGTACATATGGACAAAACTCAACTAGCCCCCCCCCCCCACAAAAATAAAAAAAAAATGACACTCAAAAAAAGAGAAACTCCTCTAAACAATCTATAAGTGGATATCCAGGTCCTGAGACACTCAAAAAGAGAAGTTAATCACATCCTTGTCAGGATTCTTTATCGGCTCAAAAATTCTAGAATTTCTTTCTAGCCAAATAAATGGTTTAAAAGGTGTGCCTACACGCACAAGTAAGATGCATTTTAAGGTCTACGCTTCGCCTAGGTCCAGGCACAGCCCTTGCAAAAAGGTATGCACCTAGTGTGCCTTGCACCTCAGTTCAGGTGTGTGCCTTTATTAAATTTTGCACTTTTTTGAAATTTTTGAAGCACGCTCACTCACCGAAGCTTTGAGGAGCCCCTACTTTTTATGAGAAAAGTATAGAATTATATTAACTAAGAAAAACTATACAAGTATGGTCCTCTGTACAATAGTATTTTACACAAAAAACTCCTTTAAGGACCCCCCCAAAAAAATTACATTCAAGAAAGTGGACGAGAGGTCATCAGGACTGAAAAATGTCAGAGTTAACAGCTAGTCAGCCATGCTCTCAACATGCCAACCACCGCATTGATAACCACCTCCGGACTCGATTTCTGCTCAAAAGTTCTACTACTCCTTTTAGACTAGATTGCCCACAGCACTGCTAGAGGAACCACCTCCCAAAAAGCTTTCCCTCTTTTGGACATTCCTTGAATCCTCCACCCTGCTAACAGGTCCTTCACAGAGATTGGGAAGCACCCAACAGCTGGAACAGCATTTCTGAAATGATTCCAAACCTTAGAAGAAAAGCTACAATGTAGGAACAGATGCTTCACAGTTTCCCTATGGGCATTGCAAAGTGACCAATCCATGTTTGCTAGATTAGCTCCTTTCCTGACCAGTGTGAATCCTTGGTTAAGCATTTTTCCCAGACCACCACCCAAGCAAAAAATTTCACTTTTGAGGGAGATGCAGTTCCCCAAATTTCTCTATAAGGAAATGAACTATCCTGCTCACCCACCAAGCTAGCATAAAAAGACTGACTGAGAACTCTCCTGACTTGGACCATCTCCACTGCCTTAAATCTCCTGACCATTCGCAATGACTTGCTAATTGTTCAATAGAGACATCAACTCTGCAACAGATTGCACCTCCCAATCAAAAAATATTTCTTCTAAAAGCAAGATTCCAAGCACCCAAAGATCCATCAACCTGAAAGCATTCAGCTACGGTAGCCTCTTTGTTGCCAGCTAAAATAAACAGGTCAGGAAACTTATCCTTCAAAGCTAATGTATCGTACCATGGGTCCAACGAGAACCTTATTCTAGATCCATTGCCCAATAGGAGCATTATCCCTCTCGAGAAGGCAAGGAAGGCTTTATAGATCCCCCTCCACACCCCACATCCAAAAGACATCGGAATCCCATTATCATTTAAGCCATATTTCTCTGTTATTAACTCCCTCCACAACTATTTGCTAATTGTGTTCATTCATTCTTCCTAATAAAAGATATTTTTTAAAGATAATTAGTTATTAAACCATTTTTTGTAGATATTAAGAAATTAAGACCCTAACATGGACTTGTTTGAGCTTGCTTCAAGGGGGTTGGTACAAGGCAGCTCAGAAAATAAGGAATGAAAGATGCTTAACATGGACTTACCTATTTGAAATAATACAATTGGGAAAGAAGCAAAAAAAATTGGAAGCTTGACATTCTTCAAAGCCTTGAGTACGTTTTATATGTTATGTTTGTATTTTAATTTTAGCTAATAGGCTTTTAAAACACTTAGTTTAAATTAAAGTTTGGATAATATTATTTTTAATATTTTCTTAATTTATTGCACCTTGCTTCAAAAAGGTGCATGCCTCTCCTTGCTTTTTTATTTCACCTCTAGAGAAAAATGTCTTTGGTGCTTTCTTATGCCTTGTGCTTTTAAAACACTGAGCTAAATGGCCCATAAAATGGCCAGAGGAATATAGCAGGCAATAGCATTTCACCTTTCTAATTCATGATTTTTATATGCCTTTCTGATAACAAGGCTTAAACTGAATATGGAGAGCACCATTGAAATGGAATGGCCTTCAGGAAGTGGTGCCAGATTCTACTAGAGAATCTGCAATGGAGGAATAGATGGCTGGAAGTCTTGGAGTCCTGTTCAGGTGGGAAAAGACTGTCGCCTGCCAGTCCCATTCCCCTGCTGACCAAAATTTTCCTTTGTCAAACATTTATCACAGGCCACCACCTACAGAAAAATAAAATAAAATAAAATAACTTGAAGGGGCAACAGTTCCCCAAATATCCTTGCTTGGAAAAGGAGATCTGCTCTCACCAATCAGACCTTGGTAAAAGGATTTAACCTTGAAGAGCCCAGAGTTCATTCATCTTCACCTTGCATCTTGGGCTTGAAGACTAACAACCCGGTTTTATACCACAGAGAGCAGATCTGCCACCTGCATCAGCTCCCAATAGTTGGAATTTCTTCTTTTGTCAGCTCCCATCCCCCAGTTTGTACCTTCAACCTTTAATGAATGAGGAAAAACTTTGCAGATTCCTCTCCAAACCCCAGAGCACATTCCTTGAAACATAAGAAATGGTCTCGTGGTTCTTATGAAAGAATAAATTTCTGATGAATTTTTTCCAAGTTGCATATTACCGTCAGCCCTTGTATTTTTTTATTGAGGACTTTTCTGTTTGTGGAAAAACCTATAGGAGGTTTCTTTTCTTGTGGAAACAATAAGTAGTGGAGTGTAGGAAGACATCTACTGACAACTGTTGTTCCTTTTTAATTCATAGAAGCCTCTTCCAGAGGGGCAGATTGCAGGCGGTGCTCTTTAGAAGGAATATTTGATTGAGAAATTAACTGGGTCTGAATGACCTATTGTAATGGCCTTTTTATCCATGACTTCTGATTTCGAGGCAAAGAAAATGAGGGCAGCTTTCTCTAGAAGGTCACCATGACAATACTAATGCTCAAGTTACAAATTACAACAGTAAGGCTGAACAGGGAGAACTTCCTCAAGTGGTCACAATTGGCAAAAATGTATAGAGACAGAGGTCAATTGGGTCTCTCACAGAAAAGGAGAAGCAGCCTTTTATGATTGGCCACTGTATGAGATAGATATAAAAATGCTTTCTTGAATGAAGTCTTTTGTAAGAACTATATATGCTGCCATGGTTAGGGTTCAAGGTTCCAGAAAGTGAAATTAGTTTATCGTCTCAAAGAGGTGGGTTAACCCAACCACCTAGCATCTAATTTGAAAAGGTTCAGCAGTTCAGTCAGGAAGGTTGGATTTATTCACCCTCATGCTATGGTTCAAGGCTCCAGAAAGTGAAATGAGTTTGTCATCTCAAAAAGTCTAGCTATGGGTTAAACCATTCACCTAGCACCTAATTTGAAAAGGTTCAAAAGTGCAGTCAGGAAGGTTAGGTTCAGTCATTCTCACGGTAATCATACCCTATTCATGAAAAACAAGGACAACTCCTTGATAACACCTATTGTCTACATAGATGATATAGTTGTTACAAGGAGTGATCCTACTGAGATTAAGAATTTGAAGAGCTTTTTCTTTTTTTTTTTTTTTTTTTTTTGCTACAGAATTTTAAATCAAAGACTTGGACAGCTTGTAGTATTCCTTGGGCATTTAAGTGGCAATGTCAAAGAATGGTATATTTGTTTCTCAATTAAAGTGTGCTATAAATCTTTTGAAAGACACCCGCAAGCTGGGTACCCAATCATATTTTTTTATTGGCATTGATCCTAATCATCATCTGTCCTCTGGTTGCAGTTAACTCTTAAATAATAAAGGTAGATTCCAGAGATTGATTGGAAATTGTTGTGTCTATCAACTACTCCTACTACTTAAACATGAACTCTATACTTTTCTTATGAATAATTATTAAGGAAATATGGCTATGGTACCTAGGGAACTACCCTAGGATCTATGTTTTCTATATAAAAAAATCCATCGCCTAGGCGGCCAGACGCCCCCCTGACGCCCAGTCTCACCTTGGCG